GCTTTATGAACTATTTAGAGGCAATTATATATCATATGTGGGCTATTACATTCCACTCTGTTATCAGATTGTTTCTGGGGCTTCGCAGTCTTTTAATATGCTTTTATCATGGATATAACACACTGTGAATTTCCCTCTCGGGCTACATTCACTGCTTCACTCCCACGACCGTGATTCCGCCAGTTTACGGTGAAATGTGTTGACTTGTACTGATGCGGCTCTCCACAGTGGAATCCATCCTGGTCAGAGGTAATCTGGTGATTTGTGTATGAAAGGCAGTAAATCAGCAAAGAAACAGGTTGTGTTACTGATTATGATGCACAGATGAAATGCCTTTGAAACATCAGCTGATGCCTGTTTTTTCTGCAGCATGTTTATATTTTATACTCTTTATCCATGTGGTTACCATGAAGAGAGCAAAGGTAGATGTGCATTTAAGCTGTGTAACCCAGACCTGTTGTAAAGTTGGATAAAGTAAGAGAACCTTATGGTGAGTTTAAAGAATACAGTGTGTGTTCTTTGTGCAATTATATGAGTCCTTTGATGTGGGAGGAGGATGATCACAGACTGTGTACAAAACCCTCCACGTTCCTGTGATCTCATGGAAGTCATCAGCTACCCCGGAGCGTCTGCAGAACAGCGACACGATCCCAATACTCTGCTGACGTTCTATTTTCATTCTCTGCTCCATCTCCTCCTCTCGCTGTTGGATTTTAGACTGGCAGGATCCGTGCTCTGTACAAACTTAAGTAAGTGCATTTTAAACACTGCCACGTGTCTTAATTATGATACAAATAAGTCTAGTTCACGTGCACATGCATGCTCAGGATGCAGAATAGAAACCTCACACTGTCAGCACTCAAAACATCCAGTAAATATATCCATACACTTCAATCTGCATATTTGTAAACAAGCACAACCTACAAATGCATAGCAGCATACTGCATTTTGTACAGTCATCAATGTTAAGTGACTCAAATCTGCTTCTATGTAGTTGCATTCTTACACTGCACTTTTTCATACTCTTTATTTATTGTATATGCAATGTCAATATTAACAGTTTTACACTTTCACTGTATAAAGCAGTAATTTTGGCACCTTTTTTCTTTGACCAGCACATTTATTGCGTTTCTTTGTACACTGCTTTTCATATTTTCCTTGACTGTAACATTGACCTACTCTATAGCTTCACTTTTCCCAAGGGGATGAATAAAACATCTATCTATCTATCTATCTATCTATCTATCTATCTATCTATCTATCTATCTATCTATAATATTTTATCTCTCACAGCGCTGTTGAATTAACACAAGCCAATGATGCATTTTGTTTCTTGACAATAAAGCATTTCATCCCTCACTGTGAATTGCAGTTCCTTCATGGGTTGCTTATTCAATATATTAAGTACTAAAAAGATATAAATTTTTCCTTTCGTGTTCTTTCTGTTTTTTTTAAGGTCCAAGAAGAGCAGAGTAAAAGCAAAGGAATACGAATGAAACCTTTCTTCCAAATAAATAACTTGATATTTTAGTGA